TTTTTTTAATAGAAGAGAGTAGTCCTAATGCAGAAAGACAATAACAATAAAAACCTAACTGAGGCTCAACCTTAACGTGGAGTTCCACTGACACTGTAAGAAAATAAAAGTCAGCAGCTACAAAAACTGTAACTGCTGACTTTTAAAAAACAGCCACTTACCTGTCACATGATCCCGCAGTGTCCTCCCTGCAGCCCGTTTCACCAGCCGTGTGGTGTTCCAGGTGCCGGCATCTTCAGTGTGGGTACCGGCTGGGACAGCTTGCGGCTATAATAATAATGTAACAATATAAACCATCCAAGATAACTAATGTACAAGACCCGGGGGGCAGCTCAGCGTATGTTAAATCACAAAAGACCTCCTACCTTCTAGCTCCCTGGTCTCCACCTCCCACGCCCGAATGCAGGACTTCTCCAGGACTTCCCCCATCCTCTGGAACTCACTACCCCAATCCAGCAGACTGTCACCTACCCTCCTCACCTTTAGGCGCACCCTGAAAACCCATCTCTTCAGGGAAGCCTACCCCACCCTCACCTAATTGCCGATCTCCTACCACTCCAACTTCCACAGCTACTTCCTCCTGTGCCATTATCCCCTCCCTCCTAGATTGTAAGCTCGAAAGAGCAGGGCCCTCGAACCCTCGTGTATTGCTTGTTGCTGTATTGTCTCATGTTCTGTCCCCCACTATAATGTACAGCGCTGAGCAAACCTTTTTGGCGCTATATAAATCCTGTATAATAATAATTATAGTATCAAAACATACAAACACAACATAGAAACCAAATCTCTAATAGAATCATAATTGGCCAATTATAAGCATCAGCAGCTGTGAAAAAATAATATAATAATAATAATAATAACAATGTAACAATGTAAACCATCCAAGATAACTAATGTAGGAGACCTGGGGGACAGCTCAGCATATGTTAAATCACAATTTTATTATGGTATCAAAACATACACGCACAACATAGAAACCAAATCTCAAATAGAATCATAGTTGACAAATTATAAACATCAGCAGCTGTGAAAAAATAGTAATATAATAACAACAATGTAACAATGTAAACCATCCAAGATAACTAATGTACGAGACCCGGGGGACAGCTCAGAGTATGTTAAATCACAATTTTATTATAGTATCAAAACATACAAACACAACATAGAAACCAAATCTCAAATAGAATTATAATTGGCCAATTAGAAGCATCAGCAGCTGCAAAAAACAGGCAAGTTCCCAATGCACATCATGGAATACTACAATCAAAATACTAACAACAACTTACAAAGCCATCCACAACTCTGCCCCCAGCTACATCACCAACCTGGTCTCAAAATAGCAACCAAACCGCTCTCTTCGATCCTCCAAGACCTGCTGCTTTCTAGTTCCTGTGTCACCTCTTCCAGAACTTCTCCTGAGCTTCTTCCATCCTATGGAACTCCCTACCCCAATCTGTCCGGCTATCTCCTAATCTATCCACCTTTAGACGATCCCTGAAAACCTTTCTCTTTAAAGAAGTCTATCCTGCTTCTACCTAGTAAACCGGCATTTATTTCCTCCATCAGCTCATCCCCCCCCCACAGCTATTACCTTTTGTATCTCTCAACCAGGGGTGGACTGACCATTCAAGAACTTAGGCACTGCCTGAGGCCCGGGGTCAGTAGGCGGCCCCATGAAATGCCCCTGGTACCTTTTATATGCTTTTTTTGAGTGTGGGCAAGGACACAGGGGCCCATGATCCCCTATTGCCCGGGGGCCCCATGAGTTGTCAGTCCGCCCCTGCTCTCAACCCTTCCTCCTAGTTTGTAAGCTCTCATGAGCCGGGCCCTCTGTTTCCTCTTGTACCAAATTGTATTGTAACTGTAATGTCTGCCTTCATTTTGTAAAGCGCTGCACAAAAATGTTGGCTCTCTATAAATCCTGTATAATAATAATAATAATAAATAATAATAATAAATAATAAATGGAATAAGCTGAAATTTCTGGTAAGGTGTAACACCCAGAATGAGGACATAGTCCATGCTAGCCTTCCACATAGAGGAGGTTATGCAAAATGTAAGGGGGCTTAGGATATCATCAATCATACTTCAAATGAAACTTCACCTGAAACGCGTAGTTCAACTTTTTCTAATCTTTCCCCCCTTCCTCTCACTTTTTTGGAAGTTTTTTTTTTTTTTTGAGAATGGATACTTGTTTCTGGCACTAATGCTATCCAGGTGCACGTTGCTCCCCCACCTTTCCTGCTCACAACCTCCTGGGACACCTTGCAGGTCCCAGGAGGCTGCGGTTCTATTCACAAAGCACAGAGTGAGTCGTGCATGCGTAGTGGGAAGCTGTCTGTGAAGCCGTAGGAAGTCCCAACTGGCTTTTCACATCCAAGATGGCGGAACCGGGGACTTGAAAACAAAGAACCGGCCCGGGTGAGGACAGTACTGGATCTCTGGGCAGGAAAGCGTCTCAGGAAGTCAGCAGCTACAGTATTTTAATTATAATTATATATTTTTTTTGTTTGACTAGTCCCTCCCACAGCACTGCAAATTTTTAACTATTACAAGATTTGGCAATCTGTTGCAGTCCTACATATACCAATCCTTTAGGACGCCAGCTCGGTTACCCTTCCTACCCTTCCATACAAGAGTTCCACCCCAAGACCTTCCAGTCTTGGGAGTCGATTCATAGACTGCTGCTTTATCAGTGCAAATAGTATGGGCAAATGTTTGAGCTCTGGTGCAACAATTGTTGATATTTAGGTAATGATCCCCTGAACCAGTAAGGTTGCATTCACACCTGAGTGTTGCGTTTTTAAGCGTTTTTTTCAGGCTTTTGTATGAGAGTTTTTGAGCCTTTTCATTATTATTATTATACAGGATTTATATAGTGCCAATAGTTTGCTCAGCGCTTTTCATCTGTTTCATCATTTGTTGCTGTTTTTCAGTGTTTTCATCTGCCTTTAGCTATCATTTATTTGTTAATTTTTTTTTTACTTTTTTGTAAGGGGTTAAAGGTTATGGTTAGGGGCTAATGTATTTATTTATTTATTTTATTAGGAGTTAGGATTAAGGGTTAATATTAGAGTTAGGGTTTAGGATTAGAATTAAGGGTTAATATTAGTTAGGGTTTAGGATTAAGATTAAGGGTTAATAGTATGACGTTAATCTTAAATTTAGGGGCTGTGGTTAGAGTTATTTTATTATTATTATTATTATTGTTGTTTTTATTATTTTATCTATTATTATTAATATTATTATTTATGTCTTTATTTTGTTAGGGTTTAGTATTAGGGGCTAACATTAAAGTTAGGGTTTAGGGTTAGGAGTTAGGATTAGGGTCAAGGGTTATTATTAGGGGTTAATATTAAGGTTATGGGTTGGTGTTAGAGTTATTTTATTTATTTATTATTATTAAATTATTTTGTTAGGGGTTAGGATTAGGGTTGGGGATTATTATTAGGAGTTAATATTAAGGTTAGAGGTTGGGGTTAGAGTTATTTTATTTATTTTTATGATTAATATTTTATTATTATTATTATTATTTATTATTTTATTTACCTATTTTAATTATTAGTATTATTATTTATGTATTTATTTTGTTAGGGTTTAGGGTTTAGGGTTAAGATTAGGATTAAGGGTTATTAAGGTTTAGGGGTTGGGGTTAGAGTAATTTTGCTTATTTTTTTTATTATTATTATTATTATTATCATTATTTTATTAATTTATTTATTTTTATTTATTTAGGGGTTAGGATTAGGGTTAGTGGTTAATATTATGGGCTAATATTAAGGTTAGGGGTTGGAGTTTGAGTAATAGTATTTATTTAATTATTATTATTAATAATAATTATTTGCTTTGTTTATTTTTTTAGGGGTTAGGACTAGGGTTAGTGGTTAATAGTAGGGGTTAATATTAAGGTTAAGGGTTGGGATTAGTTATTTTATTTTATAATTATTATATATATTATTATTATATTTATTAATATTTGTAATTTTTTTATGTATTTTGCAATCAGATGCTGTTTAGGGTAAGGAGAGATCTGGGGTCTAATAGATCCCAGGTCTCTCAGTAAAGAGTACCTGCCACTGCCTATTGTTATCATATGGGATGTTTACATTCGTTGTTATAACAATAAAAGTGATTTAAAAAATGTAAAGTGACAATGTAAAAAAAAAAATAAAATAAAATAACAAATTTTAGAGCACCCCCTCCCCCCATGCTTGTGCACAAAGGCGGACACATGAGTTGGTATATAAACAGAGATCGCACCATACATGTGAGATATCACTGCGAGCGTCAGATTCAGAGCAATAATTCCATTACCAAACCTCCTCTGTAAATCTAAAGTGGTAACCTGTACCTGCTTTTAAAGTCTTGCCTATAGAAAATAAAATGTACGTAGTTTATCGCCGTTGCACGGGCGGGCATGCGCAATTTTAAAGTGTGACATGTTTGCTGTCTATTTACTCTGCAAACAAATTATATTTTATATTTTGACAAACAAATGGGTATTCTATTGTGTTTTTGTGCATTAAATTCATGAAAGTTTTTTTTTTTTAAAATAGCGTTTTAAAAACCGCTGCGCAAATACAATGTGACAGAAAAAATTACAAAACCCGCTATTTTATTCTCTAGGGCTTTTGCTTTAAAAAAGTATATAATGTTTGGGGGGTTTTCTAACAAAAAAATACTGATTGTTACATGTAAACAAAAAAAGTTAAACAATAGGCCCAGGTCTTGATGCGGTTATGGGAAGAAAAGGAAGTGCCTTGTTGGTTGCTATAGGCAACAGCTCCAACCGCCACCATTATTCAGTGAATTGCACTTTATACAATACATATATACAACTTTATACATCCGACTGTATGACATGCGTGAGTTGCGCTGTGTACAAATACATACATCCATGCATTGTTTACCCTCCTCTCCCGCCCGCCATATAGTACAATGACGGGCGCAAGGCGGTTCTCTCATTCTGGGAGGACATCATATGATGTCCTCCCATTCTAACTGCGCATGCATGGCTCCGGTGCTCATCCATGCCACCTTCCAGTGCCACATCAGTGCCACATTTCAGTGCCTACCAGTGCACATCAATGCCACATATCAGTGCCCATCTGAGCTGCCTTTTAGTGTCACCCATCAGTGCCAGTCAGTGCCACCTATCAATGCCAGTCAGTGCCACCTATCAGTGCTGCCAATCAGTGCCACCTATCTGTGCGCATCAGTGCTGCCTATCAGTGCCGCCTATCAGTGTGCATCAGTGCTGTCTATCAGTGCTGCCTATCAGTGCCAGTCAGTGCCGCCTATCAGTGCCAATCAGTGCCGCCTATCAGTACCGCCAATCAGTGCCATATATGAGTGCTGCCTTTCAGTGCCCATCAGTGATGCCTGTCAATGCCCATCAGTGCCACCTACCAGTGCCTCCTCCTCAGTGCCACCTATCAGTGTCCATCAATGCAGCCTATCAGTTCCCATCACTGCAGCCTCATTACGCACATCAGTGAAGAAGACAAATCACTTATTTACAAAATTAAATAACAAAAACTAAGAAAAAAAATTTTTTTTTCAAAATTTTCAGTGGTTTTTGGTTTGTTTATTAAACATTAAAAAACCCAGAAGTGATTAAATACCACCAAAAGAAAGCTCTATATGTCTCAAAAAAATGATAAAAATTCATATGTGTACAGTGTTGCATGACCGCGCAATTGTCATTCAAAGTGTGACAGCGCTGAAAGCTGGGAATTGGCCTGGGCAGGAAGGGGGTATAAGTGCCAGTAGGCTAATGTTTACACAGAACACACATGTATGGGGTGTCCAGAGCACATTCTGTGGAAAACAATTGTTGCGTTGAGCCTGCTGATCTATGCTGAATGAATATAGTGTGAATGAGCCCCTCATACTGCAGGGGAAGCATGAGGAGGCATTCTGACTGGTTGCTACGGACAACAGGGGCCTAGGCCCACTTTTCTGCTCTCTCTCCTCTGGCAGCCAATCAGAACTTTGGAAGCGTGTCAGGTGACCCTTGTACAGGATGGGGATTGAGTCTCTCAACTGCTGCTGTGCGGTGTGAGGACATCTAACAAAGAGCGACTCCAGGTGATGGAAGAGGTAATCCCGCCGCTCCTGCCTGATAGCACGGCAACCTCCTCATGCATTTTGGCGGGTTTCCAAAAACATGATTTTCCTCCCATTTTTTTTGGATGGGGCCTCATGAACTCACACTCCCACATATGGATTTTAGTATCTTTATTTTAATGGGACTATACTTCTGCAGGCCGTACATGGTTAGAATTCTGAACGTTTTTTTTTGTACGAAAATCAGACCTAAGAATAATCGGACGATTTTCGCTGTCAGTGGGGCAATGGCACCGGCTGATTTTCGTGGTTCTTCCCCATTTTGTTTATCGGGCATGCTGGAAAATTCGTGAAAAACGACCGATTTTTTAAATCATTGGTGGCACCATCGGATTACAGAACGAACAATGTTTTCGATTTTCGGACGAAAAATCGTTCCGAATTCAAACCATGTATAGGCCATAGGGTCCACTAAGAATTTGGGCATTTTGGGGGGTCATAGGTCTTCAGCCATTAGCGACCATTATACAACCTGCTATACTGTAGCTGCTGAGGGGTGACAGAGGACGCAGGGGACATCTTCCCCCCGGGTTCCTCCTCACATAGCGGCCATTTCCCTGCACATGTTTGGAGTGACACCTCTCGGGTATAATTGCTGTGGAGTAGTGCACGCTTCTGTTACCATCTGAGTCACTTTTCAGAGGGTGTTTGCCAGGCAGTGAAGAAGCATTTTATTGCCTCCTCACCTCCTGATTTAACCCCAAAAAATCTGCACCATCTTGCTGCAACTGCGTCCGTTCTACATGGTTGTAAGGCAGCCTAATTCAGTGGAATGGGTCGCAATCGGCCGCCAAATGCGACGAGGAGGATCATTTTTGTATACCTCCATTTGCTGCCTTTGCCTATGCGTTACTCCCTCCTAACCCCTGCATCCTGTATGTTCTGTTCTTCAGACCCCTGCATTCTATGTATTACCCACTCCTGACCACTGAACTATATTACACTACCCACTCCTGACCATGAACTATATACATTACCCACTCCTGACCACCAAACTATGTATATTACTCACTCCTGACCACTGAACTATATTACACTACCCCACTCCTGACCACCAAACTATGCACATTACCCACTCCTGAACTAATATACACTATCCACTCCTGACCACCAAACTATATACACCGAACTATGTACATTACCCACTCCTGACCACCAAACTATATACATTACCCACTCCTGACCACTGAACTATATACACTATCCACTCCTGACCACCATGCTATGCACATTACCCACTCCTGACCACTGAACTATATACACTATCCACTCCTGACCACCAAACTATATACATTACCTACTCCTGAACACCGAACTATGTACATTACCCACTCCTGACCACCAAACTATATACATTTACCCACTCCTGACCACTGAACTATATACACTATCCACTCCTGACCACCATACTATGCACATTACCCACTCCTGACCACTTAACTATATACACTATCCACTCCTGACCACTGAACTATATACACTATCCACTCCTGACCACTGAACTATATGCATTACTCACTCCTTACCACTGAACTATATTACACTACCCACTCCTGACCACTGAACTATGTACATTACCCAATCCTGACCACCAAACTATGCACATTACCCACTTTTGACCACCATACTATGCACATTACCCACTCCTGACCACCAAACTATGTATACTACCCACTCCTGACCACTGAACTATTCACATTACCACTCCTGACCACTGAGGCCCTTTACATAGGTACTTTACCCACTCCTGACCATCAAACTATGTACTTTACCCACTTCAGACCACTGAGCTATGTACTCTGCCCACTCCTAACCACTGAACTATGTATTTTACCTACTCCTAACCGCTGAACTACAGTATGTACTTTACCCATTCCTAACCACTGAACTATGTACTTTACCTACTCCTGACCACTGAGCTATGTACTTTACCCACTCCTGTACTTTACCACTTCCTGACCAAACTATGTACTTTACCCACTTCTAACCACTGAACTATGTACTTTACCCACTCCTGACCACCAAACTATGTACTTTACCTACTCCTAACCACTGAACTATGTACTTTACCCACTCCTAACCACTAAACTATGTACTTTACCTACTCCTGACCACTGAATTATGTACTTTACCCACTGCTAACCACTGAACTATGTACTTTACCCACTCCTAACCACTGAACTATGTACTTTACCCACTCCTAACCACTGAACTATGTACTTTACTCACTGCTGATCACTGAACTATGTACTTTACCTATTCCTAACCACTGAACTATATTACACTACCCACTCCTGACCACCAAACTATGCACATTACCCACTCCTGACCACTGAACTATGTACATTACCTACTTCTGACCACTGAACTATGTACACTATCCAGTCCTGACCACCAAGCAATCTACATTACCCACTCCTGACCTCTGAACTATTCACATTACCACTCCTGACCACTGAGGTCCTTTACATAGGTACTTTACCCACTCCTGACCATCAAACTATGTACTTTACCCACTTCTGACCACTGAGCTATGTACTCTGCCCACTCCTGACCACCAAACTATGTACTTTACCCACTCCTGACCACTGAACTATGTATTTTACCTACTCCTAACCACTGAACTATGTACTTTACCCACTCCTAACCACTGAACTATGTACTTTACCCACTCCTAACCACTGAACTATGTACTTTACCCACTCCTGACCACTGAACTATGTACTTTACCCACTCCTGACCACTGAACTATGTATTTTACCTACTCCTAACCACTGAACTATGCACTTTACCCACTCCTGCTGACCACTGACCACTGAACTATGTACATTACCCCACTCCTGACCATTACCCACTCCTGACCAACTATGTACATTTACCCACTCCTGACCACTGAACTATGTACATTACGCACTCCTGCCTCCTGCACTTTGTATATTAAACACTCTTGACCCCTGAACTATGCATGTACCTCGACTTCTGCACACAGTATAGTACATACACTATGCTGAATACTTTTGACCTTGGGGGTCATTCTCAGACCCTGCCCCTGGCCCGTCAGGTTGCGGGGATACCTCTCAGGTAGGCAGTACAGGGCCCCATGATTTCTAACAGTGGTCCTACAAACATTATGATATAGCCTGAATGAGATCCAAAAAATTCCAAGCTGAAGAAAACGATGGGGAAAATTAAAGTGTTATGACCATCAAAGTAGTTAGCCAGCCAAATAAAAATCTGTAAAAATTCTTATTTTACTTAATTTTATTATTTAATATTTCTTGAGTATTATGTTTCTTAGTATTATTGCTGCCAGCACACTTAAAGCATCACAAATATTCTTGCAAATCACGGGATGTTGCCTGCCCAAAAATGTACATTGTGCATTGATGAGATTGCTGTGGAACAACTGGGTTTGGAGTGTTCATGGTGCAAAAACACTGTAATCCTACAGAGAAATGGAACCAAAACCCTGGATGTTACCTGGTTCAAAATGTAAATTCTTTCCCACATGGAAGAATATATATTTTTAATATAGTTTAAAAATATTATTCCCAAATATATTGACATATATTTGAAATACTACAATTTTTCAAAATATATTTCTCTCTCTCTCTCTCTGTATATATATATATATATATATATATATATATATATATATATATATATATGCACACTGTATGTTGAAATGCATTTTTCATATATTACAAAATATATGAAAAATATTTTGAAAAAAAAATTTTCAAATATACTGTATGTCTTTAAAAATACATTTAATCTACAATTTTGGAATGCATTTACAAATATATGTAAAAATATATGTTAAAATGACTTTTTTATATGTTATAAAAAAATCTGAAGAATATATTTTAAAAAGATATGTCAATATATTTGGGAACAATATTTTTAAAATATATTTAAAATATATTTTTCTTCCATGTGGGTTGCCACTATGAAAGACTGGGTTTGTGATATTAAAAAGAGTACCTCTATGAAATTTCCATCCAGAGTACAGGACGTTACCTGGGCAAAAAATTAAACCATAAGCCAGAGAAGAAAAATGGATGTAGGGTCAGCATGACTAAGGGAGGAACAGGTCAGAGAAGGGTTAAAATAGATAGGGAGAGCTAGGGGCATAGTTCTTACGTGATTGGAGACTGAGGGTCAGATGGGCCATGTGGAGCCACAAGGGTGGCCCATTGCAAGGGTTGCTGGGTAAGAAAAAAAAAGCTGTGCTTAGAAAAAAAACTATTTAAAACCCAGATGTGTGCTGCTTAATCAACATTTCCAACACATATAGTCACAATAAAAACACAAACTAAAAAGCTAGTACAGCTCAAAAATCCATCATGGCTCCAGGTGTGATATTAAG